GGAGCAATGAAATGTCATCGTGTCTACTCGAATTCAGTTTCCATGACACATAGTCAGGATCACAAGGGCTGGTAGACAGCAGTATTGCCAGAGTCTCATTGTCGACAGGAAAGCTAGGTGGCCCCAAGGATGGGGTTGAGAACCATTCACACTCATGTTCATAGCTTGCCCAGTTTGTGTTGTTCCTCCATTTGGTGGGACCCGATGTGGCATAGTACAAAGTCATGAGTGCAAATCTTTGCTGAATTCGCCAGTCAGGATAGTTGGCTACATTCGGATCGTTGAGCAGCCACCCGAGTGCTTTGGACTGTGGTGACTCGGCATCTCCCAATGCACTCATGGTTTCATCTGGAAACAATGTTACCAGGAAGTCCTGAAACGATGTTGGCGATTCGGATGGAGACTCTGAGCTCAAGATGTCAACCGACGCAGAAGCCTCCGCTGGACCATTCCCACTGTTGACTTTTCGAGGAACCAAAACAATCAAAAGCACCACAACAACAATGAAAACCAAACCAGCACCAAAATACTTTAATGCTGAGGTAAAAGCACGACTTTCAATCCTGGATTCCCTGGCTTGGGCGTCAGCCTCGACATGGTCTCCAAGTTCTTCAGCCTGCGGCAAGTAATCAGGGCGTTGCTCATCTGGTACTGGGAGGGCAACTGAAAGAAGGCCAGGAACTTCCTCTGGCGTCTCATTCCTGGTATTATTTTCTAGGGTCAACCTCCCAGGTCCAGAGATGACTTCATGCGCTTCAGAGTGTAAGGAAGACGACGAATATGAAAAGGCTCCTGGCCGAGATATTGGGAGACGTTCACCGTGTCGGAGCGCGGGGGTCGCAGAGACCATCTCTTCATTTTGCCCTGGGCCCATATTGACGTTGTCCCCTTCCGCATCGGAATCTGCGTCAATGCCAACGGCACACGTTCCGTTTGTGGGGGTCTTTGACGAAGTTCCAACATTGGTTGCTCCCTCACATCCACTTGCACTTTCATGTGACTCGATCTTGTTGTCCTGGTCTTCATCAGAGGCGACAGCGCCAACGGCAGTTTCTGTGCCGTGTATACGCGCAGCGACAACCTTGAGAATATCCGATTCTGGATCCACACGATTCTCCTTTGTACGCTGCTCGTTTGCACCAAGTTTGGCGTTCTCTTTCATTTTTTTGTTCTCATCTTCGGCTCGGACACCAGAGTCTGTCTCATTAGATCTACCTTGCTGGATGCGAGACGCTACGACCTGGAGGAGATCGACCTCCGAATCGTCAACCATCTCCTGCCTTGCTGCTGAAGAGGCTTCTTCACGCTGTTGTCGCTCAACATCCTTCAAAACATCCTCTGCTGTCCCATCCGCCATGGTGAACCGCTCTAATGACTGCTAATGGGTGGGGTCTATGCTCTATCGCTGAACTCAAGTCTGTGGAAAAAGCCTTGCTTGAGGTGGATGCCAGAATGCGAAAATGAAAGGAATGTGCGTGGGCTTGTGATTGCTTGTGCATGTGCAATGCGCACACGAGGGCCAAGTGACTGGTCCACCAACAGTCACTGGCAGCTCCAATTCAGAATCGAATCGAATCTCAAGTAAGGAGTACTACTATTAGCGCAGTACTGGCGTTCTTCTAAAGTTGTATACTCCTTATTCCTTCACCTTTTGTGAGCAGGGGAATTCTGAGGGGAATGGAGGAATTCCCCAATTCCTCCAAGGAGCAGGAACAAGACTGTCCAGTCATGTTCATGACTGGGAGTCATGAATCAGTACTGTTCTACACAAGTATACGTGGAGTCACTAGTGGTACTGGCAGTTAATTCCTTCCCCCCATTCCCTTTCCCTTTAATGCTTCCTTCTAACCCTGAAGGAATAGTGGAGGAATTCCCGGAGTCGGGGAATTCCTCGAAGGAGTATAACTAAGCTGGCGTTCTGGCTGCTGTTTGCTGGGTATGACTGGTACTTTGTGGTCAAGACTTAGTGTCCTGAGTCAGTCCACTCAGTTTCTCAGGTAGGTGTGGAAAAACCGAAAAACCATTGTAGTATCTTATTAAAACAGTAAATATACCTGTACATTATGGTCACCTGAGTACATGAGTACTAGTATATTGATTCTAACAAAATTTATTTACCTCAACTACCTTTCTTAAACAGCCTCCCCTTTAAGTCTTTGCTGGTATCGTCAAGACTTTTCAAGAAAGAAGAAAAGACCTGTGACTGGATTAAAAACAGTGTAAAATGTCCATTATTACAGGTGCTTTTGCTTCGTCAAATGCTGGAGTACTCAGTACTTAAGTAGAGTTCAACAAGGTAAAGCCAAGCTTTATTGGAGAAATGCAGCTGGTTTGTACCAGGTCCAGCTTATTTCTACATGTACTGGGACTTATCATCGATTGACCAGTGGATTGAAACCCGAATCGAATCAATCGAATCTATTCGATTTGATTCGATTCATCATTCGAATTCTGCCGTATTGCACCTCACGGGGCTGCCTTCATTCCCGAATAAAAGATCCAAAGATCCTAATACATGTCCAACATGACAGCTGTCAGTCCTCCATCCTCCATTACAACAACATCAGGGCAGGAAGCTCTGTCCAAACAGACCTATTGGTAGCGCAACGAGATGAGACTGCCTACTTGTGTCTACGCTACGACGCTGGCATGCGTCTTGATCTTGACCATCCATTGCCAATTGGTGGCAGGATCCAGCGGAACTCCATTTTTTCGTCCTCGTCACAATGGATTCTGGCGATCCAACGAGGCATCATTCGGCCGTCGATCCCAAGGCGGGGCCTATCCCGGTGCGAGGCCACTGAGTCTCCGATCACAGGCATACATTGACAAGATTGCTGCCAAGGAAATGCCTGGCTATTCTGGAGTTGACAATGTCATCGAAAGATTTCCTCCCCGCGGTGGTGAAGATTCGGATACCTTTGTCAAGGTAGTTGGAATCGCCACTGACATATTGGTACAATGTGGAAGGGTAGTGCTACCTCCCATTGTGGCATTGACCAAGATGATAGTGGGATTCTATCAAGCTCTTCCCAAGGACGCCATTATGGCGCAGGTAAGTCTAGCCTATGTTCGCATTCACCAGTTGGAGGCACTGAACTACTACCTGCAGGACAGGATGCTTTGTCACGAATCAAAGGATCCTCATCTTAGTTCTCTATTTTCTGCTTAGGTTGGACTTGTCTATTGCTTTGCAGGCGGATGTAAGTGGAAACAGACGCCCTTGGTTGTCCTTTTGTGATGAAAAAGAGCTCACTACTTATAACCACTTTGTTGGCAATCCAAAATTGCTAGACTACCCAACATTGTTCAGTTCCTTGGCAGCCGCCCAGCAGTTTGGTTGGGACGTGATGGTGGAGGCCATCCAGGACTTGACGGATGAAGCCATCAATGTGATTCATGCTCTGGAGGAGGTGCAAACATCCAAGTATGGGTTTGATGATGATAGGGCAGCAAATTCCTTCCGACGCAACACTGCTGTTGTGATGGCTACGGTGGATCCACAAAAGGTGAACCAGGCTGCGGGAGCTCTGTACACAACTTGGGTGGGAGTGAGTTCCGTATTAGAGAAGGAGTATGCACGTGTCATCACCTTGTCCTTGACAATGGCCAGGTACATTGAACGATTGGCACAATTCATCCTGGCACCTCCCGCCAGAATGTGCGTGGCGGCCGACTATCACCGATGGATTCCCGTAGTGATTGGGTGGGGCTGCAAGGCAGCGGCCATGAATGTAGCGTGGCGGATACAACGAGTGATGAGTGCCGCCACTTCTGCCATTACAGGTGGTCTCATGTTCGCCCGGGCCTGTGCCAGGATGCTATCAAAACGCGGAGTCAAAATGTTTGGTTTGATCCAAGAGGACGATGAAGCTACATTCTTTGACGAAGTGATCGGATTCATGGTGGCTGGTTTGGGATTCTACACACAGTTTGAAGCCCAATATCGCAACGGTTTTTCATTCAAGGTGCCCTACCCGTTCAATCTTGTGACCTGGCCATTCGATCTGGCCGAGAAATGGATTCAATGGCAGATCACCAAGGAATAATTATAACGCGAAGGCCGACAGGAACGATGATGCCCTTTGTAATAGGTTCCAAGTTCCCAATGCGTTTTACTGCACATCAACGAATAGAAAGATTTGGAACGGTAGCTAGCCAGATAGCTAGATAGGCAGCAACGACACGGATTTGATGGATCTGATTGATTCGATTCGATTCATCATTCATTCAACGAACTTGTGCGGACGTGCGATCTCACCATCGGCTTTACCGGTATGAGTCCCTCAACGGTACCTTGCAGACAAACCCACCGTGAACCGTGAATGATCCGAAATCCGAATTGGGTTCCCTCTTCGAGCTTCGAGTACTGTTGTGCCGTCCATAGTGTTTCGAATGGTTTGTGGGCATTGATCTATTCGTGGCGATGCAATGATGACTTAGAGAGACAACGAGTGCATCTCAATTCAATCGAGGTGGCATCAGTGGTATCATAAGTGATGGAGTTGACAATACTGAGCATGCAGCCCCAAGCCTAATAAACCTCCCAGATTGCGATAGGTTGCCAGTAGTTTTTACACGTTTACACTGGTATTCACAAGCCAGAAAATCAGAAAATCCTCCTTTAGACAACTTGCCAGGTGGCAGCCTGCAGGTTGCTGATGAGTTGATGAGTTGGCCCTCGGTTTCTTGCAGCGCTTTGACCTCGCCTACCGGTACCGTCCCACCGGTACACACCATTATTTCGTCAATTTCCGCCTTTGGGAATTGTGAAGGATGTACCGACGTACTGTACCAGTAAACGGCAACGCGCAGTGCCCAGCCCAATAATCCCCAGCCATTTTCTATTTATGGTTGAAAGGCACAATTCCAAGACTTACGAAGGCGGCTTTTATCATCTGTGACTTTGACATTATGCTAGCCAGATGTCTTTGCCTGCCTGAAATTTTCCAAGGTGTATACTTACTTCATTATTAATTGAGTGGAAATGATCACCTTTAGAATGCTTCTATTAGCTAGCTGGCTACCT